AATGACAAGTTCCAGTTTCGAAAATTTGCTGACTCTATTTCCTTGCAACTCGAAACTACAACTCATTCATCAAATATTGCCATTGGCAGATTCTGAATTCATATTATATCTTTCTGTTAGGCCAATTTAAAAATTTAATTTATACTCGGATTTCATTATCACAAACTCTATGTTAGCAATAAATATTTAACATTTTCAAATCAATTTGATTAATAAAATATTATTAATTGTAAACACAAGAGATAGACTTTACAACATTGTCTTCATATTATTTTAATACTAATGCAAAAATAATACAAACTTAGCTGCTTAATGTACACCAGTAGCATAATATAGAAGTTTATTATGTAATATAAGTAGATTATTATTTATTTATTTAATGCAGGAAAGCCTAACCAAACTTACGCAACATTCCTACGAGATACATTGGAGTATTTGGATTTTAATTTACAAAAACAGTTTAATTATACTATAAATACATTATAATTAGACTTTATAACCTGAGGAGACATCGTGGTAAAATTATTGAATATTTTATTGTATATACCAAGTGCGACTTAAAGGTTAAATAAAAATATGTTTATGCGTTGAACATCAGAACAAAGTTTTTTTATCATCACTTAATAGGTCGAAATCATGTACAAATTATAAAGAAGTAATTACATCTGATTTAAACATTTGTTTAACGTCCTTCTAAAGGAGTTTTAAGACTACGACATCTTAAAAACCACTACTTGAAAAGTTTTAAGTTTAATTTATTTTCTACCATTTGAGCTTGATTTCCTACTTATTAATATGATTTTAAAACTTTTTCTTTTGAACCTAAATGTATCGTAGTCAGATTGACAAAGAAATAGCCATTTTTTTCAGTTTGTAGATAACTCGCTCTATAAATGATTTTAAAATGAACTACTTTCTGGTGACATTGTTTCTCCGATTCCTGATAAACAACTTTAAATTCTTACAGATAGTAAAAGATTACTATGATATACATCTTTTAAACGAGTTTCAGCATTTTTATTTAAAAATTAGCAAGTTCCTGATAAGCTGTAGAGCAGCATAATGATAGGAACTGTATTTAAGGTTAACAAGCAATTTCATTCTCTAAAACTTTAATATAGTGTTTGATGTTTCAAAGGTAGCCTTGTTTACGAAAAACTTTTGAGTAATTCAGCAATTTCTTTATGCTCAAATTTATCAGCATACCTTGAGGGAGTCCAATCAAATATGTCTCTTGCATCGGCACTGAATCCACTATCCAATAGAAGCTTCACGATATTCAGGTACCCATATGCTGCAGCTAAGTGAAGCACTGTTCTTCCGAATTTATCTCTAGCATTAGTAAATTAGAATTTCTAGAATTAGTATCTTTCTCTACGCATCGCTCTAATAGCTGTAATACTTTATTTCTGTCATTGTTTAAAACTGCAATGTGTACTTTACATTCATTTTCATACCTAAGAGCTCTCCAGCACAACAACGAATTCTGCAGATTATCACAGGCTGTGCAGATTATTTTTAATCTCAGATTAGTACAAAATAATGAGAAAAAAATAATTAAGACTTCTTTTTAAAAAAAATTAATTTCTAAGCAATTTTATCAAAACTAGAAATAATGAAATTGGGAGAATGTTGCACAGAACAAAAAAGTGAAGATTTTATATCTGTTAGTTGATTACAGACTGAATAAGATTTATTTCACCTGATTCTAGTGTCATTGTTCGCTCAATATAAGTTTAGGTTATATAAAGTTTTTACAGCAATAATCTATGGTTGACTGAATTGGAGTCACAGACAAATTTGGATTTATGTAGATAGTGTTGAAGATTTACTCCATTGAGTTAAGTTCTGCTACTTTGCCAAATAACTTCTTGACTCTTCCCTGGATAAGTTTTCGGAGGGAATAGTTGGAATATGCTGGAGGAATGAGAAAATTACTTAAGCTATCAGGAGCTATGACGTAATCGAATGTTGCCGACTTTCGAAAGCTAAATAAAATTAAACAGGTGTCAACAGGGCAAAATTAAAAGTGCCATGATTATACAGATTAGGTTTGAAATTAGGAAAATTTTCCTAGTACAGTGAATTAAAGTTTTTGTTCTTAGCAAATTATTGTCAAGGTTTTTCTAAACGCATCATTTTTGCATAATTTAACCTGATAATTCTCTGCATTCAGAGATTCAAAGAGTTAAAGGTTACTAGATTTTCTACCGATTCCTCTCTTAACTCAGATTTCCTAATTTATTTGTACCGTTAATGTTTTCACTTTGGGAAATTAGATACTCAACTACATCCTTACTCTTAGCTGAGAACAAAGGTGTTTCATCCCACGAGCCTTTAACTTCAATGTCTGCACCGCTTTTTATTAAGAGCTCAGCAATAGCCTTATTTACAGCATAATGAAGAGGAGTCTGTTTCTTATAATCGAATGCATTTATTAAATATTTCTTCCTATTTATGAGAGTATTTAGAACATTTAATAGCCCTTTTTCTGCTGCACTGTGAAACAAAGTTTTCGATGGGGCTTCAGCATTATAATTACACTATCTAGCCATTAATGACCGGACACTGTGAAGCTCGGCGGTGGAGGAATTATGATGTGGTCCTGTTTCTCATGGTTTGGCCTTGGACCCTTGGTGTTAGTGCGTGGAACCCTGAATGCAGAAGGGTGTAGAGACATCCTGGACTATTCAGCACTTCCCACCCTGTGGCAACAGTTCGGTAATGACCCGTTTGTGTTTCAACACGATAACGCTGCCATTCATAAAGCACATGCTATCACGGACTGGTTTGATGAAAGGGGGGTGTAAGAGCTTGACTGGCCATCCCAAAGTCCCGATATCAATCCAATTGAGCATCTCTGGGATTAGTTGGAGCGCCGGTTGAGGGCCAGACCCACAACGCCCCAAAACCACCACTCAACTCTTCGCCATGTTACAGGTATCCAACAACTAGTGGATAGCCTTCCTAGAAGGGTTAAAGCTGTGATTCGGGCGCGTGGCAGCCCTACGCCCTACTGACTTGATACTAGCACCTCATGTATCTGAAATGAGGGGTGTCCGGTCATCAATAGCCAGATACTGTATCAAGTCGTTTCATTGCTTCATACATGTCATCAGGATTTGAGCCATGTTTTAGAAGCAAATCGACAATTTTCCAGTGACCCCTTTTGTCAGCATATCTTAGAGGCCTCCAACCAAGAAACTGGTCTTCAACCTCGACAGTAAAATTATGATCCAGTAAAGCCAATGTCATCTCAAAGTATCCATAAGCCGCAGTTAAGTGAATTGCTGTTCTTCCTACTGTATAGCATTAACAAAGTCTGTAGAATCTGACAATAATTGTTTAACTTTTTCTTCATCATTGTTTAAAACAGCAATATGCACCTCATTGTTATCTCCATCGCAAGCTACCATGTAATCGAAGAAAGTATTGGTTAGATCATGTCCTTTTCCATAAATATGATCACAAAAATATTTTTTTTATTTTGTCTCGTTCTACATTTTTGGATAAAAACAGTGCGGCAAAATATTCAGAGAAACTGTAATGAATGAAAATTGGCTTTGAAATGGCAGTGTGACTAATGAAGCCAGAGTTTTCTTTTCCTTCAACTACTTGTTCCTTATAAATTTTGATTTCTCTCAACTCCCTTTCGTCAAGAAATTGAATTAAATCATTTTCCCAGAAAAGTGTACTTAAAGCTAATAACGAATATTTCTTCATGAAAGAGGAGTAAAGTGTTTCATACTCTGAACCTGATTTCGTTAGATCCAATATCTGCTTTTCTGAAAGATGTCTTTTGTACTTGTTTTCTACAAAGGTTTCATATAGGCTCATTAGATTTAACTTTTTTGAAAAAATTGAATCCTTTTGGGTTAGATGCGTAAGAGAGATTTTAAATTCTTCTTGAAATAATTCTGCCAGCATTTTTGTTTGCAATGGTACTCCTGTTAACTCTCTATTCTTATCAGAAATAGGTTGCAACACACAGTCAAGTAATCTGCTGGCATAAGCCACAATTTTCTCTTTATAGGTTTTTCCCAGAATCAAATATCTTTCAATAAACATCACCTAATCTTTTCTAGATAGGGGCCTTAGGTTATACGATAGAACACTTAATATGTCTTCTAATTTATGTTTCATGTGTGGACGAGTAGTTATCCAGAGTTTCTCTACTTTTGAATGCTTCAAAGCTTTTAGCAGTTCAGCAATCTTTTCCTTGTATCTAGGAACAATCTCGTCAAATCCATCAAACAATAAAGCGATTTTACCTAAAGTATGCAGCCTCTGCTTAAATATTTCTTTTTCCAGTGATGTGTTCAGACCAGCTATGTCAACCATAAATTTAAGCATTCCTTCATTTTTATCACTAAATGTTGCATTAGCTAGTTTTTCCGTATAATCATTCAAATTAATTCCTACAACCCACAAGGAACTATCAAGTTTTTTTTATCTTAAGTGCTAGTTTAGTCATTACTGTGGATTTACCTGCCCCAGATACTGCATTTATAATTGCAATATTTCCTGCTACTTCACCTTCAGAAACTTTGTCTCGGTCTATATACTCACGCAAACTTGATAGATTTCCGCGCGATTTCTGCCACATATATACTCTTTCTACTTCTTTCAACCAATGAATATTATGATTTTCAAATTCACTGCACAATTTATTAAAACTTTCACCTGTTTCAGAAATAAGCACGATATCTTGATCTTGTTTCAGCTCAGATGTTTTAATTTTATCATTATATGTAATATAAATTCCGAATTCCGTTTCGATTTCTTTTTTAATAAATGAATGATGATTAAAAGTTCGATCAATGTAGTAACTCTCAACATCACCTATATCAGAAAGTGCTTTACCAATCTCTATCGTGTCATTGCTGATGAGTTTAGACAACGTTCCCTCATCAACTAGAGGTTTTAATTCGTTTGTTATTAATGCACCTAATTGAACCTTTTCACTTCGAAAAATGATTTCTTTCTTTAAAAGTTGTGTCTGTGTATCATCTGCTAAATCTTCAAANCTAGTAAGTTTTTCTTTCGTACTTTCCTTCTGTGTTTGGAATTTTTCCATGATTCAGTTTTACTTTCAACTACAAACAGCATAGAAACTTCCTTCTTTGATTGCTTCAGAAAGTCATTGGGTAAAATAATCTGCTGTAAATTTTCAAGCTGCTTCAGACTAAAATAAAAAGTTTTCTCAATTTGGTAGTCATTTTTCGTCTCCTTTAGAAACTTTTGTATTTTTTTCATTTCTTCCACTTTACATATTAGTTGTAAAAATTGCAAATTTTCGTTTTTCGAAAAATCATCGAGAAATTCCAGGGTCGACTCCTTAATTTTTATATACTCAATAGAATTACAATACAATACATTATATACTCAATAGATTGAAGATAATCGCGAGACAGTTTATTGAAAACGTCGTGCAAAACATCAAAATTCTTGAACTTAGATTTTATCTCACTATGTATATTTGGAAAAATGAACAAAATAGTCTTAAGATAAACAATCAATATCTGCAGTTCTTTGTCCGACCCGCATTTAATAACACCTCTCCCAACACCTTGTTTCCTTTCTATACCTTGCAGTATTTCTTCTACTTTATCCTTAGTAATTGCTCCCTTTGATCTTTGATCCAGTAAAATAAATAAGTCCTCTGTTATAGAAAGCATCGAGAATTGCTTTAATCTGTGACATCCATCCAAAAAATCAAACTCTGATTGCGTAAAAATATTAGCACTACATTCTCCTTTTTCCACACTCTGTACTTGATAACGAAGAGTACAATATTCGTTATCATCCGGAGGTGGATTATAATCGTTACTACAATCAGCTAATTTATGAAAAAGTTCGTAATCATTCTGGTTAGTAGTGAATATGGAAAATAATTTCTTATTAACTATTATACCACCTAATCCTTCCTTCACTAGCGGCCAATCTATTACTTTACTTATCTTCTCCATTGGGCTCTTATTTTTAATTTTGCCCGTTAACTGTTGTTTAACAAATACCTTTTTAATATTCTTCATATTGTGAATTTCTTTCGTGTATTCGAACAGATCCCAACTAGATTTTCTTTGAGGTAAATCTTCAATAAACACCCGATATAAATTACTAACATTCAGATGGGAGTGAAGAGTATTCACCAAATTTGTGGGGATAGGTAAATTGTTACATCCAAGAAAAAAGATGAATGGGTTTTACCGCTGTAGCGTACATCAAAATCACTTTCCATTTTCAACAACATGTCTTTGCAACCAGGGCTGTCGAAAACTACTGTATGAGCATGAATGCCTTCTTTTTTGCTTTTAACGAAATACCCATTTTTACCTGTTATAAGATATTGGGTAGAAAAAGCAGTTATTTGCGCTAACCACCCTCCCAAAGAATGTCCAGAAATTGACTGAGTCAAATGCACTGATTGTTTTTTATGGACTTTTTCCAGTTCAGCCGCAATCATATTGGCAAAAGAAATGGCAGAACTCATTTGAGAAGTGTATTCATTCAATAAAATACCTTCATAACCGTCCAAAGATCATTTACGCTCTTTCGATTTGTGCCTTTGTGGGCAATAACAACTTGCTTCTGATCGGGATTCCAGTATGTAGCGCCAAAATAACCATCACCAGAATTTTTTGCTGTTGTTAATAAGATCCATTTTTCTTTATCCCCGAATATTGTTTTTTCTTTTTTATCCAGTTTAATTTCATTCCATATTTGTTCCAGTGGATGTAAACAGCTTTTTTCTTCCTCATATACTCGAGAGGAAAATTCTGCCAAGAGATTATCACTCGGATAAAGGCATCTGTCAAGACAAATAACTTTTGCATGACTGTTATCTAGAGCTGATTGTATGGTTGATATAAAGTTTTCATTATTTAATTCCAAATTAACTGCTTTTAATTTTTCACTGTAGGGAAGAGCCATTTTCAAATTGTCTGAGCTATGTTCGAAAAAGTCACATATGTCTTCTTTTCTTCATTATCAAACCAAGACGCAAATCTCAGATTTTAGTTATCTTGTTTACCTAGAAAAATATCAATTATTATTCGACAATACTACCTTAAACAAATAGAATTTGCTAGATTACATCGCATTAGCTAAAATATTTCAATGTTTTTTCCAAATAAAAAAAATTTTCGGGTCAAATTTTTGTTTACATAAATTTAAATATCTCTTTTTACCACATAAAAAAATCAGAAAGGTAATTTTTGTTCTTAGTTCTCAAAAATAAAATAAGAAGTCTTCTTTAGAGGATGAAATTAGAGTAAATTTAAAATAACAAACACCCTGTCAATTTTTTTATATTGAAAAATGTGAAATTTAAAATTGCGAGAAAAAAATTGAGGTATAGAAATTTGTTTTTGTGNTTATCTTTTCATTTGAATTGCATGTCCCCTTGGAAGTAAATGCATTTTTAATTTTGTTCATATCGTGAGTTTCCATCGTGTATTGAAAAAAATCCCAACTGGATGCTCTTTGAGGCAAATCTTCAATAAACACCCGATATAAATTACCAACATTCAGATGGGAGTGAAGAGTGTTCACCAAATTTGGTGCGGATAGGTAAATTGTTACATCCAAGAAAAAAGATGAATGGGCTTTACCGCTGTAGCGTACATCAAAGTCACTTTCCATTTTTAACAACATGTCTTTGCAACCAGGACTGTCGAAAATTACTGTATGTGTATGAAAGCCTTCTTTTTTGCTTTTAACGAAATACCCGTTTTTACCTGTTATAAGGTATTGGGTAGAAAAAGCAGTTATTTGTGCCAACCAACCTCCCAAAGAATGTCCAGTAATTGACAGAGTCAAATACACTGAGTGTTTTTCATTGAGTTTTTCCAGTTCGACCGCAATATTATTGGCAAAAGAAACCGCAGAACTCATTTGAGAAGTGTATTCATTCGATAAAATACCTTCATAATCCGTCCAAAGATCATTCACGCTCTTTGGATTTGTGCCTTTGTGGGCAATAACAACTTGCTGGTCATCGGGATTCCAGTATGCGGCGCCAAAATAACCATCACCAGAATTTTTTGCTGTTGTTAATAAGATCCATTTTTCTTTATCCTCGAATATTGTTTTTTCTTTTTTATCCAGTTTAGTTTCATTCCATATTTGTTCCAGTGGATGTAAACAGCTTTTTTCTTCCTCATATACTCGAGAGGAAAATTCTGCCAAGAGATAATCACTCGGATAAAGGCATCTATCAAGACAAATAACTCTTGCATGACTGTTATCTAGAGCTGATTGAATGGTTGATATAAAGTTTTCATTATTTAATTCCAAATTAACTGCTTTTAATTTTTCACTGTAGGGAAGAGCCATTTTCAAATTGTTAGAGCTACGTTTGAAAAAGTCATATATGTCTTGTTTTCTTCATTATCAAACCAAGACGCAAATATCAGATTTTAGTTATCTTGTTTACCTAGAAAAATATCAATTATTTTTCGACAATACTACCTTAAACAAATAGAAATTTGCTAGATTACATCGCATTAGCTAAAATATTTCAATATTTTTTCCAAATAAAAAAAATTTTCGGGTCAAATTTTTGTTTACATAAATTTAAAGATCTCTTTTTACAACATAAAAAAATGAAAAAGGTAATTTTTGTTCTTAGTTCTCAAAAATAAAATAAAAAGTCTTCTTTAGGGGATAAAATTAGACTAAAAATTCACATAAAAAAACCCCTCTTTTAATTTTTTTATAATATAAAAATTATAAATTAATATTTTAATTATATAATTAATTACATAATTATACAAGTTATTAAATATATAAATTTAAATTATATAATTGAAAATATAAAATTTAACATTGCGAAAAAAAAATTGAAGTATAGAAATTTGTTTTTGTGCTTTAAAAATATTGAAATATTTTGGCTAAAACCACATTTTATTTTTAAAGTGACTAAATAAGAATAAATGAATAAATAAAAATAATAATAAAACATGGAACACTCTCTTGATTCATGATTTACAGTATAATATTTAACATGATGCAAAATAAAATTTGAAGTGATGAAAGTGATAAACTGAAGTGATAAAAGCGATAAAATGAAGTGACAAAACCCTCACTATATTATAAAATCGTAAGGGTCAACACCCCTGTTTTGGGAGACTCAATTTAATGTTACATTTTGCTTTGCTGCGTAAGGTATATTTTACTTGGAAATTAAAAATCACGAAGAAATAAAAAATTCAGTATTCAATGATTATTTCAAGAATTTTCTAACCTGTTGCAAAAAAACGAACTATTTAAACTGTTACAAAGAACAAGCGAGACGCTCTGCAGACAGCAGGAATGCAACTATTGATTTGAAATTAATTTACATACTAACAAGGTCATGTTTTTTTTATGAACTTAACTCGAATATTTTATGAAATTCCAATGTTCTTTAAAGTTAGAGGTTTTTTTCGAGAAGCCTTTCTCATTTTTCCTTTTTTGCTTTGCGTTACATTTCGTTTTGTTGCGCGAATATTATTAAACTTAGAAACTCCGTAGTTGCGTAGAAAACAGTAGGGGAGAGGAGGGCAAGGTCTGAACATGGCGATTTGGAATATTTCTGTTATTTACTACTGAAAAAATCTCTTTGAATTATAAAAGATTGGAAAAACTGTATTGCAGTTTTTTATGAATTTCCAAGACAAAACACGAAATAGTTATACTGGAAATAAATAAAACACGTTTTTTTTTCCAAGTTAAGGGAGTCAGTACCCACCCAACCTTCAAAAAATCGATTCTGAGATTTTCACATTTTTGAAATCTCCTATTCAAGAGCTTTCCAATGATGTATAGTTTTATGTATTTACTTAAATTTAAAGTTGTTAAATTTCAATTTCAAAATGTAAACAAACGCTCCTCCAGCTGTGCCACGCCCACATTTGACAGAAGTAAAACACTTATGTCTGTGGGTACAACCGGCTGAGCAACTGCGCATGCGCTTGAAATGCTTGGCTAGAATTTAATTTTCACCAAATAATTTCGAAAAGTAACCCTGTTGAAGAGATTGCGCGGAGGTATACATAGTTTGTGTACTAGCCCTTGATTCCCACATTGACTCTG